AGAAATATATGTGCCAACCAAGTATTGGTCTTTCAAAAAAATATCTCTCGACCATTTTGTTCTTTTTCGTTTTTTACCTTCTTCCGTTGCCTCTTGGCTAATGAGAAGAGCAGATAAAAGATCGTTCTGTTGAGCCAGTAAAACTTTGTGGCAAGCTGAAAAAGCCATGACACGACGAAAAAACAAGCAGAGCGAACGCGGGAAATCAATCGAGCGGGAAAACAGCGCAGGAAAGTTGTAGACATTCCACGCATGCGCAAATTTAGCTTCTCTCATTGGCCACGGCTTGCACCTCGTTCTCGCAGGTGTGAACAGGTCTCCCGTATTTTATGCCTCTATGCGCTTTACGCCCACGTCTGAACGCACCTTAAGAGTGTAAGAAAAGGCTTGGGGTTCAAGCACAGTCATTTGAACATTTGTGGATTATAAGATTTTTGTTTGGAAGGTGTTTGTTATGAATGAGATTGAAGTTCACGAATGTACTGTTGTGACTAGTTTTATGTTTTTCAGAAATTTGTTGAATGGCCATGATTAGTAGAGTTTTTCTTCATAGAAAAGTTATTGAAGTGGATGGAAATGAAAAATGTAAGGGATAGGCCAATAGATGAACACTGGGTTGTTGGTAGAATTTAAAGAATTAATAGATGATTTTTGAAGTGTTGAGAAAAAAATAAAAGAGAACCTACTTGATTAAATATTTAATTTCTAATAAAAAGTGGCTGAGTAGTAGTTTTCAAAATGAAAATTTAAAATATGGGCAAACTCTGATAGTCATGTTGCATTTGCGAGTATAATAAGTGAATAATTTTTAGTATTGTGCTGCCTTTTGAATGTGTGCGCCCTAATATAACAATAATAATAATAATAATATAATAATAATAAAACTTCAGAATAGCCTTTACAAAAAATAGAAAAAAAAAAAAAAACTGAATTTCTCTGAGCTGAAGGTGATATAGAAATGGCATTTAGACTTGTCTTGAAAATACTTGAAAAATACAGTCTTGAAAATAGTTTATGCACAATGAATAGAAGTGCTAGATTTGAGAATTTGAAATTCTTTTGAAAACATATTTGTTGCAGATAGCTCTGTTTTACTAGCTTTTTAATTCGAACAAAAAAATGGTACAAGTTTACAATTGGGTGAACCTTGTTTTTTGGCGGTTCTTTTTTGACGCCAAGTTCAGCACCGGGAAGGCACAATTTCAAGATGGCCACTACGCAAAACCAAAGAATTGTGCAAACACTGTGTCCATGTACACATTGATCTGTTTTCACTTAAAAAAACTTCCTAGAATTGCACAAACTAGGCATTGTGCACTGCCTTAAATTTGTCCATGTACACATCAATCTATTTAACTGTAAATAAAATCAGGAAGCTAAAACTATCATAGTAACCAGAAGAGAGGTTTTATCACCAAAATTTTTAAAAAATTGTCACTAATCGAGGGGCAGGGGCACCCAATTCTACACTAGATCCAAAATTTATCCTCCTATTTAGGTAGCATGACATAATTCCTTATCCCACTATGTGTTGACTTATGAAGATTTTGATGTAAGGAGTAGTAAATATCTAGGATCAGTGTTTAAAGTAATAAAGCCAGCAGATACCTTTCTGAATAAAAAAGAAACTTGTTGAAACACTTTCTGAAAAATCTTTGTTGTTGTTATCATATTTATATTACAAATTATGTAATTGATAAAGTAATCTTAAAAGTTTATTTATTTAAACTGATAGAGCTATCAATTTATTTTTTTATTTAAATTTTTTTCTGCTCTGATAATGTATTTTCTTATCAGTCGTCTTCAGTCCAGCAAGTTAACTATGATTTTACATGTAAGAGCTGTCTTAGTGTATAAATTTATACTAAGTGGAATATAAGCTTTATATTAAGTTAATTGAAAAACATTGAAAATATTTCTATTGTAATATAAATCTGTATTACATTTTTTCTTTACAAAATAAAAGCATTTCATTTAATAATGTAACTTTATTGTTAGAGTTTTGTCAGCAAAAGTTTTGATTATTGATTTGTTGTCTAAATTCATACTTTTAAATTAATGTATTAGGCAGCCATTAGCTTAAAAATAAAAAATAGTACCATACTATTAAGCCTGCAATAAGTTTTAGATATAAAAATTGGAAACTGTTTAAAAAAAAAAGCTTGAAATAACTAAAACACTGAAAAAAATCTGAAAGGCAATCTTCTCAATTTGTCATATCAATATTCAGTTTTCTCAGTAAGTTGGCAAACAGAATTTTTTTTGTCTTTTTTGTTTTAATTCCATTTATTAAATGTTGTATTCTTTGCATTTATGCCACATAAAATTCATTTCAACAGCAAAGTCACAAAATATTTAAAAACAACCTATCTTTAGAATTCTTGATAGAGTGCCAAAGGTTGCCATACATATTTTTATATCCATCCTGTTATTTCTTTAAAAGCTAGCGATTCACACAGCCTACTGCCTAAAATAGTTTTCATGAAAAGGAAAAGTGTATAATGATTTTAACAAGTCCAGCTAGCATAATTTCATAAAAGTATTGAATATGGTTGATCTTTACAATATGGTAACTGGTAGTTTGGCGACATTTTGGAGGCGATAAAGGTTACTACCTGGGACTTTGATAATAATGTGAGCAGTACTCAGATTGTAAGGTAATTTTTATTAATTTAATGTATGTGCTCATTTATATTTTAAGTAGTGTTTTTGAATTTAATTATATTTTAATGAAATGATAGTATTTTGTGAATTTTATGTTTGTAGGAATTTGGTATACGTTTAAGTTGAAATAAACGTGCATGGAAATAATTTAAATATTTGATACTAAGTATTTGTAATACTTGCGGTATGAATTCGTTGGTGACGTGTATAATGTAATAGATGATTTAGAGGTAAAAGTTTTTGGATATTTTATTTATTTTATATGTGGAAATGTTCATATTTGTAAAGGGTAAATACTTTTTCGCGATCAGGTAATTTCATATATGTTCTTTTTACCGGGTTTAATTTTTTAAAGATTGAGAAAATTGTCATGTATTTTCGTGAAATTTTTCTAATTTATGAGAAAAAAGCAGTGTACATGGATATAGTGAAGAGTGTGCGCAATGCCATTTTTGTGCAATTCTGGGATGTTTTTTTAAGTAAAAATAAGTCGGCGTTGTGTACATGGTTTATGTGTATGTGTTATTTTGAAAAACGCGTAAGGAGTATGGTATTGTGCACTTTTTCCCAATTTTGCAGTGAATATTTGTCATGATTAAGCAGTTTTGTTTGATAAAATTTCTAGCATAAGTGTAATTCTGCTAGTAGATTGTTGGAAGAAGTGTTCATTAGATAAGAAAAAAGAAACATGTCTTTACTTCGTGAAGACAAAATGGCGGGCGGGGAAAAAAAAAAAATAGAGGGTTGCTGTAGGAGAGTTGGTTGCCAAATTTTTGCCAAAAAATCGCCAAGTTACCATAATGTAAAGATCAATCTTGAATATTTCTAATTAGACATCTCACAGTACAGGTTTATTTAAATAAATCGTATTCAGAATTAGGGGGAAATTATAAGGACTGTGTTTACTGCTTTTAAATTGCTTAGTTTGTTACTCGGTAACTTTTTAATCTGAAACCAGATTTTACCAGATTTAATCTGAAAGTATTTTAGGCGTTATTGAATGGCATAGTGCTCAAGTGTAGGAAAAAAAATTATTTTATATACAGCTGCAGCAACACATTGCTTTCATGGAGTCAAGTTAGTTAAAATTGAAAGATACCTTTCATTTTTTTTCATATGGCAACAGTCTCGCACGCTGGAGATAAAAATGTTTTATTTCAAGCGGTGTTGTCAATGCTAATTTTCAAATCATTGAGTTTGTTAATCAAAAATTCATTTAAGTTTTACAAAATATGAAGTAAATAATAAAACAAATTCAAAACTTGACTTCTCAGGTGCACATGTAGAAGTGGAGGACTATGTTATTCAAAATTTTATGGCTGTGGGTACTCTCTATGCAAGGAACATGCATGCATGCACAAGCAGATTCTTCATTCTCTAAAAATTAGACAACTTTAAAAGTGATCTTCCGTTTACAGCGAATCAATGCAAAATCCTGTTCTGAGATTAATAGCCCCTTTTGGGTTAGTAATTGTAAGAACTATCCGAGAGTCTGCTTCCTTCATGATAGTTTTTGTAAAGTTATTCAGCGTTCAATGAAGAAAACCCTGAGAAATCCCTTTGAGCTAATCTGCTTTGTTAGGAATTAATGTTCAAGATGTAAAACTTCAACATTTAGATATCAAACGATTTTAAGATTTAAGTTCATTTATAAGCTTTACATATTTATTAAAAGGAAGATTTGTGACTGTATTGTCTTCATAGACACAAGGCAATTAATTTGTTGATGTGAAAGCCTTCTGCAGAGCACTGCAATGAGGAAAGCTGAAATGTGAGAATTTGCAGGTGAAGTTGTTTAACATTTGCTACAGGTATAGTGAATGTTGATAAATCCTATTTCTGGCCTACTCATGATGACTATATGTAGCCTGATTATGGTTTAGTGAATAATGCATACTTTTCTCTTCTTAATTTGAATTCAAAAATCAAAGAAAGAATGTAAATAGTCCGACAGAAACAATTTACCATTTTATTATAGGTCTTGCAGTAATACTGCATAGCAAATGTAAAAAACAAGATTGGTAATTTATAAGTAACATAATGATATTTTATGTTTTGTTTATTTTTTGAAAATCACCTCCGTGAGATAACTGTCATGACCACTATTCTGCAGGTTAAAAGGAGTTTGTTATATATGTAGGCAATGAAAACTTTTTTAACATTTTAAATAATTTTTCAAAATAATCTAACATGGAGTTACATGATCAATACTGTGTAGTTTTTATGTTTAAAAAAGTGTTCATGGTGTGTGCCAGTTTTTATTTTGTATACTTGATTGGTTTATTATGACAAAAATTTGCATAATGAATTCATAAATTTTCAATACTTCTATTTAGACAGATCCTGCTAAATACAGAAGTATTTTTAATGGATTTGCAGTCACTATAAGGGAAGATGGTATGCGTGGTCTAGGGAAAGGTTGGGCCCCAACAGCTATTGGATATTCTTTGCAAGGCTTAGGAAAATTTGGTTTCTATGAAATATTCAAAAATATTTACAGCAATCTTTTAGGAGAGGTAAGTAAATATTTTCTCTAGATATATCTTTTAGTATAAACGTCTTATTTGAAATTAATGACAAAATAATTATATAGGAGCTGTCTTATACATGGAGAACATCATTATATTTGGCTGCCAGTGCATCTGCTGAATTCTTTGCAGATATTGCATTGTGCCCAATGGAAGCAGTTAAAGTTCGTATTCAAACACAGCCTGGCTGTCCTCCTATGTTAAGGAAGGTTGCTCCTGCTATTTACAAAGACGAAGGATTAAGAGGGTATTTCTTTTTCTTATTTTTTCCTCAGATTTTATATGGTGAAACCTGTTTCTAAAATTTGTGTGAAGTGTAACTCTTTGATGATAATTAATTGCTTTTTTTTATATATTGAACAGTTGACTTCAAAATTACGTATGCGCATGTAAGAGCTCAGTTATGATTTTGAAATTACCAGTAAATTTCAAATGAAAGTAATTTGTTAAGAAATTATTAACATTTAATGAAAAAAGCCACCTGGTAATTTTATCACAAAGCCTGTCAAATCATTGTGGCCCACCCATTTTATAGACTTAATGTTCTGTACTTACTTTAAAAAAAAAAAAAAAAAAACCTCCAACCCCTCCCCCTTTTTTATATATTCTTGTTCTGAAACATGGTAGGGTTTTATGAACAGGTATTTGGCTTTATGAAGTTGCAGAATGAGTGGAAGGGCTTTAATTATCATTAATATGTCTGAAAACAAATGGGTTATACTGCATCATTAACATCGTTGTTGTTCCCTCTCTAATGGTAGTGTTATTTGAAGGAGATTATGAAGGAAGGGAGAAAAACTCAAATTGTTTTTCTTAAAAGTTATCCAAAAATGTAAGGAGAGAATCTTATTTTGAAATGAATAACTGCGTGTGTGTGTACATGTCTGTTTGTGTTTATGCACTGCCATGAAAAGTCTACAATTCAAAGTATCAAAAAACATTTGTTTGCCTAAAAATACAATTGGATTCATAAATAATGATTTTAAAAAAGCATTTTCTCAAAAAGACGTTTTATGAGGGAAAAAGAAAGAAAATTCTATGTGGTCGTTGCTTAAATTTTTACAGCGGTAAATATTGTTCAGCAAAATGGTTAAATGTAAAGCATATAAATTCATGTGCACTCGCATATGTGTGTTGGCATTTGCCATGTGTTTTGCCCGAAAATACTCAAAAAATGCAACAATCTTAGCATCTGTTGGCTATTGTCAACAGATGCTAATAATCTTGTTTTTTAGTCATAGCACACCAATTTTACCATATATTGAAACTAAGAGTGTGGGTAATAAGAAAGTACCATCCCCCCCCAAAAAAATTAGCTTTGCACTTATTGGAAATGAGAAAATATTGCATCATCCCACCCCCCAAAAACATATTTTAAAAATTCTTGAATAATTTATTACCTAAAACCAACCATCTGTTATGAAATCTCTCTTGTGGCAATTATATTAAAGCAGAAAACCAGTATATGGAAGGAATGTATTGTTGGAATAGATCTGTATTCATTAAATGAAATTTATTTAAACTTGTATCAAATGCACTTGAGAAATTGGAGAAATAAGTTGTTATAACACAGTGGAAAGCAAATGCATTTAAACTCTTATAAATACACCAGCAACATCTAGCAGATCAGACCCGCTGAAATGGATCGTCGCCACCGGCCCGTGCATTTTCAGCAGTTAAGCCCAATTTTACAAAAAAAATCTTATAAAATCAGCATTTTGATATTATGGCTTCAATTTTTGAAGTTGCGTATTTAATGTGCTTATTTTTAATGTGTATTAATATAAAGAATATCACATTAATAGAAATAAATTAAACAGGCAAAATACTGCCAAAATATGCACACACAGAAATAAGTACTGTAAACATTTAAAAAAATTACAAATAAGAAATTAAAAAAAAAAAACTAAACAAGAATTAACTGTAGGTAATTAAATTCCAATTTAAAAATTCTGCTGTGTGTGAAATAATTCAAAACAAGGATCGACACACAGTCCTACATTGCATATTTCGCACTCAAATAGCGTTGTTTGCTTTCACTTTTCCTTGGTTTTAGCGCATACAACGCATCTTCTACTTTTATTACCTTTTCTGTCAACATAAATTTTCGAAAACTGTCTTCCAGTTAGACGGAAAGGTGGAGCGTCCGGTGATTTTGGACAAATCTTTAAGTTTTTAAGTAAGGTCTCTTAGCCATGGCTAATGAAATGAAACAATATAAACCCCAACACATATCCGAAAACTTCTTCAAAAGACACTCAGAAATATGTCATCCTCAAACCCTGTGTTACATCAGTTTTATATTAGAAAACTTCCTGTTTTTCTGAATCGAAAACAGCATCCATGATGACCAGAAAGTGATTAAGGGAAGATCCCCCACTGGCGGGATATACATTACTGATCACGTCAATCTATACATTATATATAATTACATGTAAAGTAAATATGTTATATACCAAAATATAATGTCTGAGTCATTATATATAATGACCATTCAGAGCATTATATATAATAATTTGATAAATCATGTTAAAAAAAAAAAAACGCTGGCTCTTTCCTGAGAAATGTGAGCAAGATGCATTACGCATCAAGAAAGTTGATAGTGTTTACTATTCTGTAATAATGTTGTAATGTTATTTTTTAATTAACCAAGAAAGCTTATGCTGAGTTTCAAAATAAATAGAAAAACAAAAAAAAAAGAAAAAAATCCTAACAAAATAAACAAAACCGCCTGTGCCCCTTTAATTCACAGGCAAACTTATAAAGAGCTGTGATTTCCAGTTTGTTTATTTTAATAAATCTCTCAAAACCAGAAGCAGAAAACAGAAACTAATGCCTGCATATGAAGGTCAAATGTCGTATGAATCAACCTATGTGAAAACAATTACCACTTAGCTCCACATTTACTGGCTTTTAAAAATTCAAATAAATCGTTCCGTTTTAATGCCTTGTATATGCGACGCTGGGCTCATAGGAGCGGAATCGTTGTGTCGCGTATACGCGCTGCTGGTCCTAAATGGGTTAAAGGGCTGAAAAGGAAACTAGAGTATACATTTTAACCATAGAGTTAAAACATTATTTCAGTTTACTTTTCTAAGTGGTGCTATTTTAATGAGTATTTTCATATCCAAAATATACATTTAACTTTTTATTAAAGTATTTTTCTCAATTTTGTCATATTTGCATATTAAATTTCTTGTGTGATGTATTTATTTCATAGATTTTACAAAGGGATATCTCCTTTGTGGATGAGACAGATTCCATACACCATGATGAAATTTGCATGCTTTGAAAGGACAGTGGAAGCATTGTACAAATATGTTGTACCAAAGCCTAGAGACGAGTGTTCCAAACCAGAACAATTAATTGTAACTTTTGCTGCTGGATACATAGGTTATTTACCCTCTTTTTTCATAATATTTAATTGAATTTAAAATTTTGATTTATATATTTTAAGCTGTAATAAATTAAGCTTGTACATGTTTTAGTTTTTTTACATCCTTAATATAAAATTTGTCAAAAATCAATTTTAATAATGGAGATAGTGTTAGAAATTGTTATACTTAGTTATAAAATATTTTGATTAATTACATGTCTTTAAAAAAATCAAAATCTGACAAAGGTAGAATGTAGTTATTTTATTGAATTTTGTTTGTGAATGTATTTGCTATAAAAATATTAGTAGTAAATCGGAGTTAGATATGCAGTATTTAAAGAAGTAAATTCAAAAGAAATTTCATTTGCACCCCCTAAAAAAATTCCAGACATTTTTTAAAACATAAACATTTGCAAGCATCCCAACCTCCCTCTACCCCTGGCTCGCATGAAATATGCAAAACAAAAAATAAAAATTTCAGGTGAATTTTTTGACATATCCTTCATAATCACATTAAGAGGAATAACCTAACTCAATGGCCTCAAATTTCAAATGACCTGAAAGTAACTGTCAGGCCTGAGTTTTTTTAAAGCAAAATGAATATTTATTATCTACAAAGGATTTTACCTAAATTTTAAAATTTTCTTGCTAAATATTTGTCAAAATGTACATCAACAAAAATAATAGTTAAAACACTAAGGGAAAATATTCCAATTTATTTTGTATCTGAAATCTAAAGTTTGATATTTGCAAGATATTTTTCTTTAATATGCTTTGCTATTCAAATGTATTCATAGCTAAATATTAAACTTTCATACTGATATTTCTTTAAAATAGTTCTAATGTGTAAAATTAATTATTAAATAATGTACTTTAATTTAAACTGAAACAAATTTATAAAACTTTCCAAGTGGGACAAAAACTTTAAAATAAATACAGCCAGCCTAATCTCTTTCTTTTATTTATTAAGTTTTTTTAATATATAACATAAATTTTGTAAAGAATGTCTGTCTACTGGAGAAAAATTATTAGAAATTATCTTTAAATGCTAATCAGTCAGATTTTCTTATTGATTTTTAACTTAAAAAAAGTTGTTCACATGTAAATATATTTCCAAACAAAGCAATATTTTTAGTGCAAAATTACTTACTTATTTTTTGACAGTTATGAAGACTGGTTAATCAAAACTGTACCCTCAAATGACTGCATATTAATTTGCTCAGTTTATAGATTTTTTGATGCGTTACTCATGCTCGTTTTTTATGGTAAGAAAACAGTATAAACTTGGACTTCAAATCTTGAAATCATTGCAACAAATATATAATTGGAATGTATTCGCAGGCCTCAAAAAATTGCTTCTTAGGCCGTTAATTTGAAACCCCTAACTTAGTTAACTCTGGAATTCAGGCAGCTGAAAATATATTTGCAGGCTTTAGAAAATATGAATTGCATTTTTAGTGTATAAATTGCTACTTTGTTGACATCATTCAAACCTGGGAACTTAATAATAGGTATAAAGTAGTAGTTACACAGTGTAAGGATATTTTTGCTCAGGTGAACTTTTGTAGCAATTCATAAAGTATTATAAATTATTTCAAGCATTTCGAGAAGCATCTCAAAGCTACAAACTTTCTGCGCATGCATTAACGCATGTGCATACCTTTACGCATATGCATGCGCATAATATGTTTACGCATGCACGTTTAATGTATAACGGACGATATAAGCTACGCTAAAATTATCTAATTATCTATTTCAGTTAATGTTGCAAATTGCGTTGTTCTTTAATCTTCTAATTGGATCCGGCTTATTATTTTTTGCAGACTGTTAGAGCAATTTTATAAAAGTAAGCTTGAACTTTCGATTATGTCAAAAGAATTTCCGATTCTGGAGCTACCAAAGGATCTATCTACAAGTAAACAAATAAATATAAAGTTGTTTTTTTTTTTTTTTTTTTTTTTTTTTTTTTTTTTTTTTTTGTAAATTTTGATATTCTTTAGATCATAATTGCTCTTTATTTCATAAATTACGGTTTCATATTTTTTTATTTTATAATTTCTGCATGTCATCTTACCAGATTTAAACTGATGATCTATAATCCGGAATCGCCGAAGTCCCGACGAGTCCGGATTAAAGGCTTTTGACTGCATTTGCAGGCAAATTATATTTGGTTGAAGCATTCCAAAAATAAAATTATCAGACAATTTTATTGTTTTATTCATAATTTCAAACTACCGTAATTTCCGGAAGAAAGGCCGCATCAGCGTAAACGCCGCACTCGAGAAAAATGGCAGGAAAAAAATTAAAATTGCACAGAAACGCCGCATCAGCGTAAACGCCGCAATAGATTAAATTGTGCGTGACATCTTCGTGGGCCGTATAGATGCAAAAACTCAACCTAAGTGCTGATATATGACATACCAATTAAGAAAAATGCATGAAATGAAGCCATAATTCAAAAATAAATTAAAGGTAAGAAATGTATAGCTTCTGTGCCATTTAGAAACATTTTCAAAAATTTTCCGCTCCCTAATTAAAAACTATGCAACAAGTACTTGTACCCTAACTGATGGGATCTGTATTTGGCAGAATGCCAAGAAAAATCCATTCATGCTGAAGAGGAAATACGTCAGAGTTCGTTATTGCGAGGCAGGTGGAGTCGTGTCCGCCTTTGAAAAAAATTGCAGAAAAGGCAGGGGTGGAAGAGGATGGGTCCTGGAAGATTCATCGAATGGCAGAGGAGAGAGACTATTCAAACTGATGAGAATGTTGATTTGAAAGGGGGAAGAATGTTATTGTTCTGAGATCTCATTTAGGGTGAATAAGGCATGTAGGTCTGTTCAAGGGAAAGAATGTAAACAAAATAACGTTCGCAAAAAGCAACTGAGTGGTCTTTTGTGTGGGAACAGCACCAGTCTATGCACAATGACAAGGCCATCCAAACTATGTACAATGACCATCATAGGAAATATTTTATTTTTAGTGCACCTAAACGCCGCATGGGTAGAAACGCCGCACCCGCTGAAAATTTAAGTTTTAAACACATAAATGTCGCGGCGTTTCTTCCGGAAATTACGGTATATGTTTTAAAGTAAACCAACAGGTGTTCTGATATTTAAAGTAGGAGTCAAATATTCACATTCAAGTGTTATATTCATATTTCCCACAAAAAAAAAAAAAAAAAATTTGTGTATTGAATAGTAAATGCAGTTTTTCAAAAATTATATTGGTTATAATTAATAAGTGTTTAATTTTTTGTATGAAATGCTCTTAGGTTAATTTTATTAGGTAATGCTGCTTAAAAAAGTTTTGTTTAATATTGTGGAAATCGTCAAAAAGTTGGACATGTATACTATAGTTTTTGTCTATGTGTGTGCAACCACTACTATTGAATCATTTTCTTTACTAATTCTTATAGTTAAATTTAAAAATAAAAATTAGAAATGCATTAAAAGTAATGTTCATTTGTAAATTTTAAAGTAATGCTTTATTCTCGGAGGGCTTTTTTTTATTTTTTTCTAAAATGTTTGTATTTTATAGCTGGAGTTTTCTGTGCAATAGTGTCACATCCAGCTGACACTGTAGTCTCAAAATTGAATCAAGATAAAGGTAGTACAGCTATCGAAGCTGCGAAAAAGTTAGGAATGAAAGGTAAGTTTTCTGTTTTTACATTTCTTTATGTATGCATTTTTATGTATTTCTTCAGTTGTAAATGCTTTGTTTAGTGCAATTTTTCCCCCATAACAACTGTAAAGTATTAGAATCCTCTGAATTTCTATTTTACTTATGCTCACTAGCTTAAGTAAGTAGCTATGTGAGTTAGATTGTGGAGCATTTGTAATTTATTCTGGATTTGGTTTTTACTGAATGTGCTAGTTGCTATGAGTTTTTCATGATGTTTTCATGTATAGCTTGAATATAAGTAAGTTTCCCTTAGAAAGTCCCCGACAGAGGTATCTCTTCTGTAGGTAGCTGTCTTGTATATCTATAACAGTCAAATTGTCATCTTCCAACCCTGGTCTAAGAGGAGGGAGTCTATCATACGTTGGCTCGAATTAATCTGAATGAGCAAACTCAATTAGCAAGAAGTTAACACCGGTCTAAAATGCTTATAGAATTGGCCAGGCGAAGCTGCCAAATTGCTTAAATTTCATGAATGATGTCCTTATATGCAAATATCTAATTTGCATTGTGGTGAGAGCTGGTGAAAACAGAAGTGACAGTAAAGCTAAAATAATAAGGTAATGAATTAATTGACAAAAACCTTAGAACTATTTCAGGAAATTTGAATGCCCCAGAGTAATTAATCATATTATAAACATATATAATACATTTCAAAGCAAATCATAATATTCAAAACACACAAACTAATTCTTAATTTTTCTTTTTTATATCATTTATCGGAAGTTTGAACAGAGCTCCAGGTATTGCTGTTTATTAAGCCCAATGCATTTAGGTGAAATTTATTATCAAAAATATTTTGTTCTATTACTTGAATAAATTACTTTAAAAAGATAGTTCTTTATCCGTTAAAATTTAAATTGTGTTCTCCATATTTCAAAAGATGAATGTTGCATCTGTTATAGTTTAACCATGCCATTCGGAACAGTTTATTGATGAAGTAGGGTAGATGGAACTGTAGTAGAATTTTTTCCCCCTGTTTATTTTTATTACTTTCAAAGAGCACAGAGACATGGATAAAATTACTTTTAAGTAATCTAAAGATATGCTTATTATCATTTGTATTTAACAGTTTGATTGAACTGTGTTTAATTTTGTGCAATTATATATTGGTAAAATATGAATGTTTTCAAAGCTTAATTTTTCTGTATATATATATAATTTTATGTTAAAAGTGTAATAAATAACTTTTATTGTATAATTTTCATTGCAATGAATTCTAATTTTATAATTATTACATATCTTTTTATCTAAAATATTTTTAACTAAAATATATGTACATGGAATATACACTGGGGAGAAGAAATTTCTTAATAATTATATTTCTTTTTGATTTGTGAGGTGAAAATATATATGCATTGTTGCACATAGTTTAATTGGGATGGGAGAACCAAATATATTTTAGAAAAAAAGAATGTAAATAGTTCTTGCTAAAAGATCACAATATTGGCAACTATCACATTAAATCAATTATGATCAGAGGAAAACCCACAAATGGAGTAGATGCCTGTTGTCCTTTTTATTTACTTATTTATTTTTGCTACAGAAAGAATATTTATGCTAACAGATATAGTTCCATTATTTTTAGGCATCATATAATTTTAAAAGTAAACAATGCATGAACAATATGCATTGTTCATGTAAAATTATGTTTAAAAAAAAATTCAGCACTTTTTGGTTTCTAGCAGTGGACATCTGTGCAAATCTCTATGCATTTATTTCTGCGAGTATAAAATAAAGGCGCAAAAGACAACTGATAGCAGGATTACCTAATGATACAAGGGCTTCCCTTTTTCCGCAGAAGAGCGAACTCTTGTGTGACCGTCTTACTCTGCAACATGTAATTAAACACCCCATTAGTTTCTGCAAAATGCCAACCAAGGTTGCATGAAAGTCCAGCCCTATGAGGACATTCCCTCTTTCCAAAGAAGAGCAAACTCTCGTGTGACCTCCTCACTTGCCATGGGTAATTAACACTCTATTAATTTTTGCAGAATGCCACCCAAGCTTGCATTTCACATGGTCAAACTATACCAGCAGCATGAAAATCCAGCATTATATATAAAACTTCATGGCTGGTATTGTATGTATCAAACTTAATCCAATCTAGGGCTTTTGTCATCTCATTCGCTCAGGGGTTCCGGGGATCGTCGTTCAAAAGGAAGTAGGAATAATAATGAATTATTTATTTTGATCTGGGTAATTTTGTTTGCTTTGAAAGCAGAAAACGCAAGGTCAGTGCGTTTGGTGAAAATTTTTCCTTTCTTTCTCCAAAGGCAGTGATAATGCGTGAAAAGGGGGGGGAAACTTCTTTTTTTGTTCTTTCCTTATTGCGAGTTATGACTCATTCCCCCGGTTCTCGGACATTCTCTTCTGGATTCTTTTCGGCAAGTAGGCGCAGCAAAAAAAAAAAGGGGAGAGATTTCGTTCAACCAAATGTGCGATCACTTGACTCTGGGTTCAAAGGTCTTATCTCTCCTGGCGTGGCGCCAATAAGTAGAGAAGGGGGATTTTTCGCCATATTAGCTATTTGTCATTGATCGCTTCTCAACTTTTTTTTCTCCGATGTGTAAAATTTTCGTTTCATTTATTGATGCACATGTAAATTTTTGTTTTGTTTATTGAAATATTCTTTTATTTATGTACGCAAGAGAATTTCACTATGAAATTTCTCGATATAAATAGTGATATTATACAATTAGAAGAAGGTGTCCTGAATGCATTTAGGTGGGATTAGATTGAACGGAGAGATGGTAATGGGGATACCATCGGCACATGGTACAAGAAAATAAATGTTGCTGGACAAGCATATTGTGTTTTTTGTAACTCACTGCTGAAGTATGGTGGGGAAGGATTCAAGGCTTTCACAAATCATTCTAAAACTGTGATGCACATAAAATATTCAAAGTGCATTAGACATTCAATGACTTTAAGTAATTATGCTAATTCAAAAAAATACTGACGACTTACTGGAGACTGATGCACGGCCATTGGATATAGTGACAAGAAAAGCACGCCAAGAGGTATTAATAACTTCGTTTATCGCCGAGAATTCTCTTTCTTTCAATGTAGCTCCCAATTTAATTGAACTCTGCAAACAGTTATGCAGCGATCAGACGGAACTAAACTCATTGGAAATGTCCAGGACTACTGCATGTTATAAGATGAAATATGAACTATTAAGGAAAATATCATTAAAACTTTAAAGGAGACTCCATTTTCTCTAAATTTGGATGAAAGTACTAGCATTGCTCAAGAAAGTATACTGGCAATATTGGTGCAGTTTTATGACAACAATCAAAATGAAGTTGTAGTTCATCATTTTTGCATCTCTAAAGATGGAATCTTGCAATTCAGAAGCTGTTTTTAAAGCAGTTGTTAATACTATTGAAGATAATAATATTCCATGGGCAAACTTAATTAGTGTATTAATGGACTCATGTAATACCATGCGTGAAAAAAAAAGGATGTTGAAACCAGACTACGATCAAACAAAGCACCCCACTTATTAGATATTGATGGTGACACATGTCACACAGCTAATAACTGTGCAGAAAAATTTGCTTCATGTTTTGATAGATACTTAGAAGATTTGTTTGATGACATCTATTTTGATATGAAAAGCTGCAGTAAAAAAGAAAATATTTTCAAAATCTGTGAATCCCTTGCCATTAAAAAACTTAAGCCCTTGAAGAGACCAGACCATAGGTGGGTATACATTTGTGTGTTTTAGAAAGAATCAAAGATCTGTGGGATGCTCTTATTGCATTTTATTTTCACTACTTGGATAAAACTGATTAAGGGGATTATTTTTCTTATGTTGAAACTGTATGCAATAAAAGAAATATTTCTGCAGCTCAGAAAAAAATTGTTGAAGGGGTGTATTCTTGCTTGCATTCCCAACAACTCACAAAGGATGCTTTAGGAATCGGAAAAAAAGAATACTAAATGGGTTATTTGTTATGCAAAACAAAACTTTATTGCATATGGCATTATATTCAGCAGTATTACCAGAGTTCAACACATATATTAAATTATTTGAAACAAAAACACCAATGCTTCATTTAATACATTCCAGTATTTATAAATTGATGGCAAAATTTTTCTCTTTTTTTATGAAGCCAGAAAATACAGAGTGCACATCTTATAATGATTTATTAAAGGTTGATGTCACAAATCCAGAATTCCATCTACCTAGCAAAGTAATATTTACTGGTGCAGAAGCTTCCACTCTCCTGAAGAAATTATCAAAAAATCATCCAATAGCAAAAGAATTCCAAATTTCTCTGATGAAAGCTTATACTAATACAGCACAGCATATGAAATGGAAATTACCCCTTAAAAATTCATATCTAATTAGTTTTACAGCATTAGATCCAGAGCTAAGAGGTAAAACCAGTACAGTATTAGCTTTTGAAAAATTATCATCTTTTATGTCCCATATTTTTTAGTGATAATGAAAAGTCAAAAGTAGAGGCTGAAATAAGGTTATACCAGAGTGATATTGATATCACCAAAGAAATGCTCTACACATCTGATGAAAGTGGAAATCAAGTCAAGTGTACAATTGATAAATATTGGTCTAAAGTTTTTAATTTAAAAGATGATTTCACAAATGATTATAAGTATCCTACATTGGCTAAATTGGTCAAAGCCTGCCTTAGCTGCTTCCATGGCCCATTAGTGGAAAGTGCATTCAACTTAATGGATACACTTGTCACACTGACTATAGAACCTCTCTTAAGATTGATTCCCTAGATGCAGTGCAGACTATTAAATATGATTTAATGGCTTCTAAAGAAACCTCATGTGAAAAATATGGCTCAAAAAAAATCCAATGACTGATCCAATTCACAAAGATCTCTTACTGAATATGAACAGAAGTTGGAAACACATATCAAGATGACTTAAAAACATGTATTTCAGATGAGTCACCTATAAAAGTCTCTGAAAAACCTTCTACATTAGCAGAAAAGCAAAACTGCTTCTACCTCTGCATGTGCAGTTCTCGAGGAAATTTCCTTCAACTGTAAATGAGGAAAATAAAAGTCAACCTTCCTGCAATTATGAAGTTCACCACAAAAGAAAGACAAGCCACAAACATCAGAAAATAAAAAAAAAAGCAGCAGAAATTAGATAATTTTTTTTAAAGAATTAATTCAAGTAATTTAAAATATTTATATAAAATGTAGTAGTTTATATGTTTGAAAATTATTTATGTTTATTAATTTTGCAAAAAAAGTAATTCATTGAACTTTTATAATTAGGTCATTCAATACTTCATAATTTTAATTTTTCATTTCTGTCCCCCCCCCTTTCTTGAAAGTCCAAAATGTCGGTAGTAAGTCCGTAAAAGTTTCAGGGGATTTTTTTTTAGGGGGGGTCCCACAAACACCCCTGTTCGCTTGCCTGGCGCAGTAAGAGCAGGCTGCCAGTGCTGTTAGCTTTTCATTGTTAGATAGCAAAATCTTCTTGAATTATTCCAAGTGCCAATATAGTTTGTTACCTTTAGGTTACACAAGCATTATGTCCTATTTTAGAACACCAAATCACCCTGATGATGAATTAAGTGATTATGCAGAGTCTAAATTCTTCGAAGTCGCAGTTCAGCGTTTCACCTAGAGATGAGTTCCTTATAAGTCCCACAGCACAGGGGAAAGCTAAAGCCAAAAAGAAGTTGAATACCGATCCCGAAAGAACAACATCCCATCCGGAAACTCGTATGAACCCAGAAAACTAACAATGTTTAAGCCAATTTATCCAAGATCGCGGAGTTGGCAATGTATTGAATTTATTCTCACCCAGCAATATGGAAAAATATTGTAAAAAGCCTTGTACTGATGAACCCCTGCTGAAGAAAATTCAGAAAAGGAATGGATCACTCCTAAGAAAACTTCTAAAATCCCAGATGAGCCAAAACCATATAAAAATTGTCCAAGATAATAGATTTCAGACATTACTAAAATAACCTGCAGATGATGAAGGAGGAGCAAATTATGAAGAACTGTCCTGCCAATTGTATTATCCCATGATGAAGTGGATTGAATTAAAATTTACAAATTTTCTAAGAAAAACTGTTCAGAAGGATATGAATCTAAAGTCATAATCTATATTTGTCTACACAAAAACAGTGAAGGACTACAGAAAAGTATGTAAAATACTGTTGGAACAGAGCATTTCGTTCCACTCTTTTCTTCTAAATAGCGAAAAACCACTAAGAGTAATTCTTAAAGGTGTTCCTGCATCAGGGAAGGAAGATGCTATATTTAGCGATCTTGGAGAGACGAAATTTCCCGATATTAAAAGTAAAGCAATTCATCAGTAGACGTCAAGATAATATCATAAGGCTGCTCATTTACTTATTAGAACTTCATAAAAATGCAGACTATGGCATATATAGATTGTTAATTCTATATATCCGAGTCCACTGATTGGCTTGGGATTTCTCTAAAAAAGTGCAAACTTCCCAAACCTGCTACAAGAACAAGGAGTTTTCTTGATTTTAATGACAAAATGCCCCTAGTATGTGCTTTTAATATATTGCCTTGATTTCTTGGACGTATTTCAAGATGCATGTGTATATACTTTCATAAAAATATCACAAGGTATTCTGAACCATATACGTATGGCCTTGCTAGCAAAGGGTTAAAGATCTCATGCTTCAGGCAGTATTATAACTTGTTGTGTCGTAGGAATGATAAATTGCTTTTTAGCATAGTGTCATGATGTAATGGCAAAAAAAAAGATTTTGCTAAAAAATGTTCAAAATATTTGTCTTTTTTTAACCTTAGAAATTTTTTATATTGGAAGAAAATGCATTGATTACATACATAGTATTCTTTGCAGACAGCTGACACGTATCCACTTTTATATTTAAAGTGATCGGGCATCAGCCATCAACAAAAAGTTATCGATCTGCAGCCTATAGATGAATAATTTCATTGATCACCTATTGATAAATTCCTTTTGTATTTTATTTGCAGGTTTATGGAAAGGACTGACACCCAGAATCATTATGATTGGTACACTTACTGCATTGCAATGGTTTATTTATGATGCTGTTAAAGTATGGCTTGGTTTGCCTCGTCCTCCACCACCAGAAATGCCAGAAAGTCTGAAAAGAAAACTAGCCGAACAACAAAAATAATTTTTCTTCTCTTAGAAATCATAAGTTTCATTTTATGGTTGCACTTATTTTGTATTGCTTATAAAAATATGAATCAAGATCATTAATAATACAGAATTTTTATGTATAAATAGTTACTCTCCAAGAAATTTTGCATATTCTAGAATTCTTTTGCTGTAAAAAATCATAGTTTGAATTCAATTATGAATAAAAACTTTTCACTTTCATTTGCAGTATCCCTTAGCATTAAAAGAAATACTGACAAATTCTGTATTAAATTATTAAGAAATTAATATATTGCACCAATTTAAACAGCATTTGGTATAGCATTTCAATCAAAAACTTGCTTTATTGAAGTTGCATTACTTTTAATCTGCAATTAAATTGCATTAATATTACAAAAGTATATTGGGTCTGTGAATTTTATTTATTGTTAATATTAAATATAAATTATAATTATATAAAATTTGTGAAGTTTGATATATTGCAAATCAGACTGAATTTATATTCTCTAACTTTCAAAAGGAATTAAAATTGTTGCTAACATCTGAAATAAACTCTTAAAAAAAGTGTATCATTTTTACTTAATAAAGATAAATTGTATGATAAAGTTTATGCTGAATATTTAGTCTACTGCACTGCAATTTGCCTTTTTCCTATTTTCACTTTTAAAAATTCAGGTTGCAATGTGTAATGGACATTGCACTAAGTTCCTTTTCTTAGTTAATGTCAGTTTTTCTAAATAACTTTCACTTTTCTTTTTTGTTAATATTTTGTGAGAAATACAAGAGGGTTAGCAAAACAGTTACTTTAGAACAGAAGGTACTTTGCGTAATTAAAAATGAATGAAAAGGTCAGAAGGAATGTGATGTAGATTTTAAAATAAAAACTGATTAAATGATTTTAAATGAATAGATGTATCTTTTTAAGGCCAAAACCTACTAATAAATGATTTTTAAAGACTTGAGAATCAAATCAAATGTAAATTATTAGTATATTTCTTTGAGAGAAATTAATGATTTTAAATTAGAACACTATTTTGAGGAAGTCATTATGTAAAAAATTGTCATTTTATCAAGCCTGAGAATATGTTTCAGAAAATGTTTATTGCTCTTCGGGTATTTTCTTCTTAATGCCTTGCTGACTTTGAACTTATTTAGAAATGAGTATGCATAGCTGAAATGGAAATTTTTAAAACCTGAATGCAAAACAATATGAGCACTGCAACAGTTTGTAATGTGTGCTTTAAAAAATATTTAAATATTTATGAGCAATGTTTTTCTCTTGTATAAAGCATGTAAAAGCTAAAAACAAAGTTATCAGTTCATTGTATGATATTATCAAAGATATAAATTCTATAGTAACAACTCTCCTGGTTTTACCAAGAGACTTTACTTTTTTAATTTGTAACCTTTTATGTTGTCTTTACGTATGTCATTTGATCTTTCGCAAGTTAAACTACCATATGAACCAGACTAACCAATACTATAATGTGATACTGAACTATTCACACGACCCACTAGGTGAAAAAGAGAAGTTTTTTGTCCAAAATAGTAATTCTGTGTCAGTGCTTCAGTCAAAGCAAAGTGGAGGATCTGCAAACTTAACTCATATGGAATGAAGAGACTGTTTTGTTTTTTCCTGCATTTGTCTGACTGTGCAATATTTGAAATCTGAAGTTTGCTATTATCTAAGTAGTTTTAATATTTGCCATTTAACTGAGTAAGCTAGAATGTTTTAAGAGCTGTTAACAATCTCGTTCAAAAGAATTTAAATTTATTTCAAAATCATCAAAAGGAAAAGTACATGTTTTCTGTTTGATTAGGTTAGTGCATTTCAAAATTCCTCATAGTGGAAAAGGAGACGTTGCTGCACACTGCAAAACCAACAAACATGAAGGACAAATATTTAAAGAAACAAAAATGCACAAAAAGCAGTTTTAATCTTAAAAAAAAAAATAAATAACTTAAGTTCTGAATAGTAAATGACATAATTAAAGCATAATTTACCTCTGAGTTGTACAGACCATGTAGGCCATTCACTAATGAAAATGTTTCTTAGCAATGAAGTGGCAAAACAGTAGGCCTGTGCAGAGCTAAAATAGTAAGTATAATTAACCCTTTGCGGCACAGTGTGTCCGGTCTGGACACCTAAAAATTTCCTTCTGTATGCACAGAAAAATTGAATGAAACAGGATTATAGGTTACTCTGAACCTTTTTCATTTATAGTAGATGGCAGCTCAACGTAAACCAGCCATATTTTAGCCATGTTTGTTTTTTAAGACCCTCATTGTTCAAAGAAATCTTCTAGATTTATTTTAGGGTATAAAACTAATTGTTTGAAAAGAAGTTTCTATGTTATTTTTTAGCTGTATGCTAATCTCCTTATTCTTAATTAGTTTTAAATTTTTACCTTGAAATCTTGCCTAAAATCAAATGATGAATCCTAGGTGTGCCCAGACTGGGCTCACCGATAATCTAGGACAACTGAGAGTCTCTATTCTTTGTTTCTCAGCATCTCATTAGTCAGTTCATTGACAACAATGCTCATTTCAGCACTCTTTTCGAAGCTCTATTCAATCGGGTGCCACTTGGGCACACCCCACAGAATTAAAACTCTAAGTGTTCACAAAATTTTTCTTGTGTACTCCTCTAGGCCTAATTAGACTGCCTACTTTTTTTTAATCAAAAGTCTGACTTTAAAAGGTAGCATGCTGGAAGGGGTTAAACAGATGAGCTCAGAAGTAGAAAATGGTGTTAAATATTTGCAATCCAAAAGCCCTTCAGAATTTCTCCTGATGGGGATAGTTGTAGATAACAATTTACATTCTCTAGTGGTTACTTTCTTTGGGGACTATTCGTTAAAACCTTGTTTTCTTAGTCTTTCAGTCTTAGAACATGACTTAATAAAGGTAAATATTAGTACCGTAATTTCCGGAAGAAACGCCGCGACGTTTACGTGTTTAAAACTTAAATTTTCAGCGGGTGCGGCGTTTCTACCCATGCGCCGTTTAGGTGCACTAAAAATAAATAATTTCCTATGATGGTCATTGTACATTATTTGGATGGCCTTGTCATTGTGCATAGACTGGTGCTGTTTCCCACACAAAAGACCACTCAGTTGCTTTTTGCGAACGTTATTTTGTTTACATTCTTCCCTTGAACGGACCTACATGCCTTATTTCACCCTAAACGAGATCTCGGAACAATAACATTCTTCCCCCTTTCAAATCAACATTCTCATCAGTTTGAATAGTCTCTCTCCTCTCTGCCATTCCATGAATCTTCCAGGACCCATCCTCTCCCCACCCCTGCCTTTTCTGCAATTTTTTTCAAAGGCGGACACGACTCCACCTGCCTCGCAACAACGAACTCTGATGTATTCCCCTTCAGCATGAATGGATTTTTCTTGGCATTCTGCCCAATACAGATCCCATCAGTTAGGGTACAAGTACTTGTTGCATAGTTTTTAATTAGGGAGCGGAAAATTTTTGAAAATGTCTCTAAACGGCACAGAAGCTATTACATTCTTACCTTTAATTATTTTTGAGTTATGATTTCATGCATGCTTTTTCTTAACTGATATGTCATATATCAGGACTTAGGTTGAGTTTTTGCATCTATACGGGCCACGAACGATATCACGCGCAATTTAATCTATTGCGGCGTTTTTGTGTAATTTTAAATTTTTTCCCTGCCATTTTTCTCGAGTGCGCCGTTTACGCTGATGCGGCCTTTCTTCCGGAAATTACGGTGATATAATTTTAAATAAATTAAAATATAAGTGCCTGCCATTTGAAAATTTCATTGCCTTTAGTTGCAACAATGTACCTATCATAGCACAGAACCATGATGCAAACAAAAAAGTATAACCTGAATTATATGCAATTTGCCGTTTTATCAGTCTAGCTCCATAAAAAGGCATAATTTCACTGCCACTAAAGGTAGATAAAATTTTTGTATTTTGTCATGAGGAAAGTTTTGCAGTTTCTTTTAATTACACATCGGTACTCGAGCATAAAAAAGTTTCATTGAATCATGTAAATACCATTTTGTCTAAAACCTTTACGCCATCTCTATGGCAGCTGGAAAATTCGTTTTTCAAAAAAGTCGTTAGGTTTATTTGCAAAAAAAGTTACTGAGATGTTGTTTAACAGTCTCCAAAGAAGTAAACTCCAGGCCGTTCAGAGAATTTTGAAGAGACGAATATCTGAGTGGGCAAAAAAAGTCCTAGTGAGTGTGGGGAGGAGGACACAAAACATTTTAGCTGAGTGTTTCCAACTGTCCTGATTTAGGCGGGAAACTCCTGCCAACCCGATTTTTAACATATTTCTCCCGACTTCCTCTTATTCTTAAAATTTCTCATGACTTTTATGTAGCTTGGCTTAATACTTCATTATTTGCCCCCAGAAAAGTGATTTTTGGCACTTGAAAGCATTTGTTTTTCTCTGGATGCATATAAAAAAATTCAAAGTTGTTTCATCACTGAGATATGCGTTTTTGCTTTGTGTAGGACAGTCCGACACACATCCGAAAACTTTATGTTCCAGTTCTCCAGTGAGAATCAAGCACCGCTAAAGTTCATCAGCCATATATTAACTAATGAGCACAAAGCAAGATGGAGGTTGTTTATTTAGGTGGTCTTACCAGTGGGCAGTGTTTGTTTCGCGAGTTTCTAAGAAACTACCATCTTAATTTTGGCTATGTAAAATACTCATGTACTTTTCAAAAATTGTACACAGATGACTTTCCTGCTATTATTTCATCAAGGAAATGTAATATTGCAATGTGTATTGTTTGTCATTACATTTTTTTCAATTTCGAAAAAAGTTTTTTGGGCGACAGCGCAACCACTCGTGCACCGCGTTGCGTACCTCTTCATCAGAGTGGAACTTCCTGCCGCCCATTGCTTCTGGGCTGCTAATCCATTGCCTCTTCAAACAGAGGGAAATCGCTCGGTGCGAGGTCTGGCGAGTAAGGAGGATGTGGGAGGTATTCAAATTTCAAGTCTGTGATGGTCGCAACCATTGCACGCACCATATGGGGCTGTGCATTGTCGTGTTGCAGCGGCACACTGGCTGACAGCGATCCACGTCGTTTCGTTTTGATGGCAGGCCGGAGATGATTTTTTAGGAGGTCCGAATACATAGCACTCGTCACAGAGGTTCTTCGTGGTGGGTAATGTTCCAAGATGATGCCCTTTTCGTCCCAAAAGAGGGTCAACATA